ACTTAAGGAGCATATGCAGCATGCTCTCCGGAGGTTTTGGGGCATGGTAGATACTGCTGTAGACTGAATATTTGTGTCCCCTCCAAAACTCATGTGTTGAAATTCTAACCCCCAATGTGATTGCATTAGGAGGTGGGGCTTTTGGGAGGTCATTAGGACATGAGGGTGGAGCCCTCATGAATGGGATTAGTGCCCGTATAAAAGAGGCCCTAGAATGATCCCTTGCTCGTTCTGCCATGTGAGGACACAAGGGGAAGACAGCTATCTATGAGCCAGGAAGTGATGCCTTACCAGACACTGAATGTGCAGGTGCCTTGATCTTGGACTTCCCAGCCTCCAAAACTGTGAGAAATAAATTTCTGTCGTTTAAGCCCCCCAGTCTATGGTATTCTGTTATGGCAGCACAAATGGACTAAGACAGTTACTCATTGGGCACAGCTGGTACCAGGTTGGTATCTTCAAACAGGTAAACCTAGTTAAGATACCAACCAGGCCTCACTTGCCTCCGGCAAAGCACCAATGTCAACTTTCTGGAAGCCCAGATCTAGTGTGAGGTCCAGGGCAATCACTTGCATCAGACATAGGAAGGAATGTTCATGAGTCCTGTGAATCTTTGATAACATCTGATTTCATGGAATGCCCCTGCACCTAACTTATAGCAACAAGGTTTCATTGCTCCATTAAAAAAGAGTGTGCTCTTACAAGTGACTTCTGTAGGGAGTTGTTCTCTGGGTGTTTTTCCACTGGGTGATTGGCAGGCAATCTCTTTATCATCACCCAAGATGGAGGAAAGCCTCACTACTCCCTGATGTGTGACAGGAGCTTGGTGAGTACGGGGTGGCTTGTGGTGGTGGCTGAACACAATTTATAGATCCCCATAGCATGTCCTCCCAAGGATGCTACGCAGATATGAAGTTTTCATTCTGGCCCTGAGGCTGGCCAACATACTATTGACACAAATAATCCATAATCAATCTATAAATCAAAATTGGGATCAGTTTATTATATGAGCCAGGTCTGAGGACTATAGCCCAGGGGCTTCTTTCCTTAAGGAAGGAAGGACACCAAAGTAGTGGGGTGTATAGAGCGGTAATATACTGTCTTGGAACAAAGAGCATACATCACATATGATGGGAATATCTCTTTTACTACTGTCATGAGATGCTTCACTAGCACACTGCTTCGCTGAGGTCATGAGGTGAACTCAGCAGGTCGGTGGTCAGCAGGTCACTGGTCACGAAGTGAGCACAGCAGGTCAATAATTAATCCTTGGTTTCTTGGAAGAGATGCTTATCCTTAAGGAAATGCCGATATAGGGGGGAAGCTACATTCCTATCTTTAAGGGCATCGCTCTCGTCTTTGGGACATTGTAAATGTTAAAACGGATGTACAATGCATGCTCAATAGGCCGTCTCAGGGCTTTCTGGAAAAACAAGGCCAGGCTGAATTAGTTTTAAACCAAATGGTTTCCTCATATACTCCAACATATCCTATTGCTTTTCATTTATTTATCATTACCCATCCTGTGGGGCCTAGAAACTTCCAATGTTTCACTCCCTGTATCCCACCTCCCATGTACAGATAGACAACATTTCATAATGGGCTATACACAGGATAGGATTTTTGCATATACTCTATAAACACTCATTATGCACCATGCTTGGGGGAAGTCGACACTCAGGGAGCTCAGTCCAATGAGGGAGACAATCTGCAAGATTGTCTGAACAGCTTAATGGGAAAGAGAAAAAGAGGTTGCACCCCGTTCGGGGGAACGTGATGTACCTTGCTTACCTGGAAGGTCAGGGAAAAATTTTAGGCAGAGGTAAGACCTGATTCGAATTTCAGAGGATAAATACGAGTGAAATGGGCAAGTGAGATCCTTAGGGGTCTCGATGCAAAATAACCAACAATAGATAAGAGAGACAGGGCCGGCCCTGTGGCTTGGTGGTTAAGTGCGCACGCTGCGATGCTGGTGGCCCGGGTTCGGATCCCGGGTGCGCATCGAGGCACCACTTCTCCGTTCATCCTGAGGCCGAGTCCCGCATACAGCAACTAGAAGGATGTGCAGCTACGACATACAACTATCCACTGGGGCTTTGGGGGGAAAAATAAAATAAATAAAATCTTTAAAAAAAAAAAAAAATAGATAAGAGAGACAAAGTGAGTTCTACTTGAGCTAGGGTGAGGATTATAACCGGGGAAGGCCTATTCCAGAAAAGAAGAAAGCATTCGAAACATGGTTTTCAGTACAGTCTTATATCTTTTTAGAACAAAGAACATACATTAAACACGCACAAGATACATATTCATCATGTTTCAAAAAGGTATTCAGTTGCAAATTTGCAGGTCAACATGACCCTGACGTTGGGAAAGGGACTAATCCAGCCGTTACCAATAGGACGTAGGAGGGGAAGTATGCATTCTTATCTTGAGAGAGTGCATTCTCTACTCAGTGGTTAAAGCAGATGTGCAATGTATGTTTGATAGGCCGTAAGTCAGTCTTCTCTAGTTCAAGTTGAATCTGTTTTGACCCCAAATAGTTACTCCATCTACCTCAATATGTGAAAATCTCTTGTCGGGTGGAAAGTCACTGTAGGACAGTGGTTCTCAGCGGGGGGCTAAGTCCCCATCCCCTCCCTCCACCCCAGACATTAGGCAATGTCTGCAGATATTTTTGGTTGTTGCAACTTGGGGGGGTTTGCCACTGGTATCTCGTGGGTAGAGGCCGTGGATGCTGCTAAACATCCTACAATGCACAGGACAGCCTCTGCAGCAACTATCTTGCCCCAAATGTCGATAGTGCCAAGGTTGAGAAACCCTGCACCTGGAGAATGGAAAAGCATCTTTAAAGGATGTGAAGTATCAGGGAGGATAAATAGGTCGGAAAACTGATGCAGAGGTATCTAGCAGGGATAGAAGGAGTAAGAGAAGAAGAGTCCTCTGATGGGTGTGTTTCCCAACACCACCAAGCAATTCAACACTTCTCTTTAGGGGTCTCGATGCAAAATCGACACTGACTGGGTGTCCTACAAATTTAATTCAGTTCTGGCATTATCTTCCTGGAGATCGTGTCAGATCTCACAAGTTAAGTGCTCAGTGCCATGAGGTTGTCCCCACTTCAGATGCCAGTCGCAAGTCCAGGTTGTTACCTGTGCTTCTGACCCACTGGCTATAGGGTTCCCAGGCCCCCTCCTTGGGTTCGATTAATTTGCTAGAGCAGCTCATAGAGCTCAGAGAAGCATTTCCTTACATTTGCCGGTTATTATATAGGATATTATAAAGGATACAGATGAACAGTCAGATGAAGTACATAGGGTGAGCTGTGGAAGGGTTCCAAGCACGGGAGCTTCTGTCCCCAAAAAACTGGGGTGTGCCACCTTCCCAGCATGTGGATGCGTTCACCAACCCAGAAGCTCTTCAAATGTCATTATTCAAGAGTTTTTATAGAGCTTAACCTGCCTCCCAGAGGTTGGTGAGTGGGGCTGGAAATCCCAGCCCTCTAATCACTTGGTCTTTCTAGGGACCAGCCTCATCCAGAGGCCCCACCCTAAGTCATCTTATTAGCATAAACTCAGGCATGCTCAGAAAGGCTCCTTATGAATAATAAAAGACCCTCCTATCACTCAGGAAATTCCAAGGATTTTAGGAGCTTTGTGCCAGGACCTTGGGACAAAGACCAGAGATATTTCTTATTATACCACATGACCAAGTTTAAGAGCAGTTTTGTATATCAAGATAATAATATAGACTATTAGCCTGTGGGCATTAAGAAGCCCTTGAAGGCATATTTTTTAAAAATTAAAGTAATCTATGCTCTTAAAAAACAATGCTAAATGATTGTTCAAACAATCTTATTATTGGAATTATATGCCATTTATTTTCTTCTTTATTTACTAAAATTTCTTTCTGAAATATCACATAATAGATAAATATTTTGTCACAAATGTTATTTTTATAATAAAATGTTATTAATTTTAATTTATTCAAGGAAAAGTTAATCATAAAAATGAAACCATAAAAGAACTATGAGAAAATGTGTGCGATTATTTTACCAGATCCTAGGGAGGAAGAAAGGCTTTTTGAGCATAACAGCAAGAAAACTCATGAAGGAGAATACCCTTGGGTTTCACTACATAAAAATTCAAAACAGTGCTTAGGAAATTACAAGGAAACAAGGAGAACCCTGTTAAGCATAAAAATAATGGAAGAAATCATGAAAGAAATGATTGATATTACATTATTATTCTTCAAGTATCTCTGAATCAAATATGTGTTAAACAAAACGAAAAGGCAAAAGGCATTGTGGAAAAAAACTTTAATATCAAAAAGAGTCTTGCAATTCAATAAAAAAAACCCTCAATAACATCCAAATATGAAAAATCAGCAAAGGACATAGATTCACGGTGTGCACCTATACGTAGGTGGTAAACATAATAATATAGTTTAACCTTGATAGCAATGAAATAAATGAATATTAAAACAACGAGGGGGACTGGCCTGGTGGGATAATGGTTAAGGTCATGCGCTCCGCTTCTGGTGGCCCGGGGTTTGTAGGTTCAGATCCCTGGCATGGACCTACGCACCGCTTGTCAAGCCATGCTGTGGCAGGAGTCCCACATATAAAGTAGAGGAAGATGGGCACGGATGTTAGCCCAGGGCCAGTCTTCCTCAGCAAAAAGAGGAGGATTGACAACAGGTGTTAGCTCAGGGCTGATCTTCCTCACACACACACACATGCACACACACACACAAACAAAACAATGAGAAACAATTTTTCCGACCAAATAGGTGATGATTAAAGAAAAACTATCCACATAATGCTCAATTTTGGAGAAGTTCCTGGAGAAGTTGTAGGAAGATCCACCCTTTCATATTCTCGGTGAAGGTGTAAATTTGGAAAATCTTTTGAAAAGCAATTTGGCAGTATGTACCAAGAGCCTGGAAAGAGTTTCTACCCTTTGCCTGGCAATTTTGTTACCGAGCCCTAACGGACTGGTGACCTGCAAGTGAGTCCTTTTGCCTGCAGCTGCTTGCTCCAATACAACGAGACCGGGTTTGAAATAGCAGAGCAGAAACTTTATTCATTGATCAATGAATGGAGGAGGTAGAGCTCATGCTCTAAAACACCTTCTTCCAGAAAGTGAAGCAGAAGGTGAGCAGGGTTCTTGTGGGATGTGAAGGGAGAGGGGTCTCCACGTCATCACTCAGAGGGGGGGCATTTGGGGCACGCACAGTTCTTCCCTTCTTGCACATGGCACCTTTTGCACACGTTTCCTCTTGCACATGGCACCCCATCACCATCTTAGACCTTTCTGGTTTGGACCAGTTCTGTGGTTTGGCCATCTGGCAATGTTCTGCCTTGGTTCCTATAAGCAAGCACAACTTGAAAACAAAGCATAAGAAGTGGAAAATGATTTAGGGACTTTCTTAGGTGACAGTTCTAGGAATCTACCTTGAGGAAACAAACAGAGATCTAATAAGAGATTAGAGATTATGTATAGCTGTTCATCAATGATGGTCTTATATATGCCCAACAAAAAGGGGAAAAAATACATTATGGTACACCCACCCAATATAATAAAATGAATTTTTGGATGTATGTTTAATCACAAGGGAGAAATGCTCATGGCATATTATTTAAGAAATAAGATAAGACACAAAAGTACTTTTATTTTCATTTGGTCCCAAACATCATGTAAATATTGATATGTGTGTGTGGGTGTGGGTATGTGTATGTAACAAAGTATTTTGGCTAGAACTTGACTGTTTTGTGCAGTTAGATGACACTGCCTTGGACATCTTTCTGTTAATTTCGGGAACCAGGGCTGCCTTAGCAGCATGAAATGCTTGTGGATGTCTAAAACGTATCTGATTCATTCCCTGACCCCCAAAATCATCTGGCTGGGGCCTAGGAGGAAAGATAAGGTTGCAATTTGGGTCCAGACGTGTTCAGACATGTCTGATGAACTTGGGCTATACCTGATGGAAACCTGCCTAGAGGGAGGGACTACAGAGACCCTAGACAACCACCATCAGATTCAGAGAGAAACGGTTCCTTGGAGGCTGGGCTCTGTGGAAGGGTCATGAGGTTGAGAGGAAGCAGAAATTCTGGGTCTATACCAGGCTAGAATGCTTATGCTTCCTGGGAAGGAAAAAGCTGAGTCGTGGAACTAGAGAAACTGCCTCACCTGTGGTCCGAGTCACTATGTAGGGGGACCTCCCAGAGGCATCCGGCAATAAAATGGAATAACCATGCCATCAAGGGCTTGAACCTCTTAGTGAAGGTGACCCACCTCAGAAAAATCTGGATGCTGAAGGGGCAGGCATTTTCCTAGCAGCCAGAGAGAGATATAGGCAACAGAGACCCACAGAGGCTAGCAGAAGTAGCAAGAAGCTTAAGTAGTCAGTGGTAACAAAGAGAGTGGCATTGGTGGTGAAGAGCAGGCAAGCCACTGCATGGGTGGCTGAGTGGTCTGTCAACAGCAGGATGCACTAGGGCTGGCGGTGGCCAAGCAGCAGCAGTAAGGGTGCAGGGAATGGGGAGGACCAGAGCTGGTGCAGAGTGACACCCAGGCTGCACGTGGGAGCCCGTCTTGCGTGTGAGACACCCTCCCCGTTTTGAGGACTCCTAGAGACACAAGAGGGAAGTGTCTTGTCATTTGATAGGTGGTACCAGCCATTCATTGGATGAAGGACAAACTGTGAAGGTGGACCCCTGCCTGACCGGTTATATTTTAGAGACTTCACCTAGTGTTATTTGAGTTCTAATGCAATGACTAACCATTACCCCCAGAATAGAGCCTGGAGTCTCCTCCTCATTCTGGTTGGTAGATTGCTAGCTGAATGGTACAAAGGTGACCTGCTGACCCTGCTGGCCTTTGGGATACCCCAAAGAAAGAGAAAATGTTTGAAACTACTAGGATTTTATCCCTATTAGTCTCCAAGGTGAGACTTTGGGTGTGGGGCGAGTGCATTGTTGAGGCACAGAAGTTTAGCTTGAAAACTTCTTCAAGAAGAGGTGGGGAGGGCTAGTATATTTATAAGGACAATGGCTCATGTAACAGAAGATTTCAGGGTTATCTGGCTCAGGCGACTCAGATGGGATATCATCAGATTTCGATCTCACACTCTCCATCTCTTGGCTCTGCTTTCTTCCCTGTTATTTCCATTCTTTGCTGCAAGGCAAGGCACTAGAGGGTTTAAAGCAGCCTTGGGTGTGGGTGTGGGGATGGCAGTTCCAGGCTGCTTAATGGCTATTTCGTCCATTTTTAGCATTCCATATCATTTTAATTCATTTTACAAAAAGATAGCTCTATTACATTGCTCTTCTAACCTTCTAGTCTATGTCTTCAAATAAGGGAACAGGGATGAAAGCAAAATGAGAGGCTAAGGTGCCCTCCCCACCCCTACCCCAGAGGAGGACATGTGTCTTCCCTTCATTAATGCTAGAGAAGCCCTTCTGAGTGAGAGCTGAGCTTCTGTCCCAGCTTCAGAGGACTCAACTGATCCTAAGACAGTTCTTTGGGGCAGGTGACAGTCTCTGAAACTCTCTCTGCTCCTTGGAAACTTTGAAGGAGTGCAACTGAAGATGTCCCTTGAAGACAGCAAACAGATAGAAAACCTAATCCCCAAACCGAGTCTGGCATGATGAAAAGTGGCCCCTGGAGAGAGAGGATGTTGAGTTCAATGCAAACTCTTCTACATACTTGCTGTGGGCTGCTGGAGAAATCTTCAAACCATATTCTACACCTTTGCAAAAGGAGAGAATTGGACTTCCTTGAGTGTTTTCTAATGCTCTTTATATGTATTTAGTCCTCAAAACAAGTCTATGAGGTAGGTTCTTATATCCCCCACTTTACAAAGAGGAAGTGGAGGTGTAGAGAGATAGCTTGCCTGGGCCTTGAACTTGGCTCTGCCCTGCTCCAGGTGGGGCGAGTGTGCACTCCCTCTGAGAGCTAAGAGTTTGGAAAAGTTCTACAAAGCTGGTCCAACTGCAAAGGACAGAGTTGCATCTCTCTGGCTCAGGATCCACCAGCTCAATTGTTTTCTGTTGATTTGTCTTGTTGATTTAAAGAGCTACACTGTGCTCACAAGGAGATGCTCAAAAAGTCAACTGTGGACAGAAGTTGGAGCCTGGGGGGTGTGAGGTGAAGGTATAAGGGTATAAGGGGTTGAGGGACAAATTCTGATTGGAGACTTTTCACAAGGGGAGCCAGACAAAAACCTTGTTAACAAAGCTTCAACCCTTAGCTGCTTCTAGCAGCAAGCTTCCTCCACCTTCTTCTAGATCTCTAAACTTTGGTCTTTGTTTTCTTATTTTCTCCTACAAATTTTTGTCAATATAGTTCCTTCCTCATTGTTACATCTTTAACTTTTTCAACTTTACCTTTTGATCTTTAACTTTTCAGTGGGTGGTTTTTTTTAAAATTTTGAATGCATGATTGTTATAACTTCTCATTGATTTGCATTCTTTTATTTCAAACTACATCTATTTTTGTCTTTTTAAAGCCTCAGCCTTGTTTTATTTGAATCTTAACAAAAGAAACACTGTATCTCAAGTATCTAGTCTTTTCTTTTAATTCTCTCCCCATCACATTTTAGCTTTTTATTATTCACATAAAAATTTTAATAGATTTATCTAAATGCAGATGCGTATAAAATAAAAATCAAAAATCCTCGCTCCCTAATCCCATTCCCTAGAGGTAATTACTGTGAACAGTTGGGTGTCTGCCCCATTCAGGTTTTTTTCTGTAAACTGATAAATCCTGTAACCATATTACCATTCACATATTCATTTTTTAATAAAAATGAGATCCCACCATCCTCAAAGTTCCGCACTTTCCTTTTTTGTTTTTTGTTTTTACATATCATGATTGTTCTCATTTTAAACCTTATTTGTTTTCTTTATTCTTCCCCCCTGTAACTTAGATGGAATAAAAACATCACTCTCATGATTTATTCCATGTTTTATAATTTGATTATTTATATAGAGGGGTAATAGTCTGCTTTGTCAACCGATGTGTTTTTTTTCCCATTATGGATTCCCCTTACCCAATGGCCCTCTTCCATCTGGACAATGAGAAATGAAGCATCTGTAGCCTTAAGGGAGAGTGTCGCAGTGGAAGGGCTTTTGAGCTTCTTCAGCTGAGATCATGGTCTATACCCCAAATGTAGAAGACTATTTGCTCAGTCAATTTTTCCAGGTGTAGAGAAGATAAAAATTCCCTGGGCAGAGGAGCAGGGTGGAAGAGACTGAGAATGAGACAGAGGTGTGGGCCTCTGTGATGGGAAGGGGAAATGATTAGGACTCCATCAGACTGAATGCTTGTGTCCCCCCAGCACTCCTAATGTTGAAGCCCTAATCCCCAGTGTGGTTCTATTTGGAATAAGGAAGTAATTAAGGTTAAATGAGGTCATAAAGGTGGGGCCCTGCTCCTACAGGATTAGTGTCCTTATGAGAAGAGACACTTGAGAGTTCCTTCCCTTTCTTTTTCTCCACGATCAGGAACCGAGGAAAGGCCATGTGGGGACGTAGAGAGAAGGCAGCCATCTGCAAGCCAGGAAGAGAGCCCTCACCAGAAACTGAACCCTGTTGGACCTTGACCTCAGACTTCCCAGCCTCCAGAACTGTGAGAAAATAAATTTCGATTGTTTAAGCCATGCAGTCTATAGTATTTAGTTATGGGCAGCCCGAGCAGACTAATGCAGACTCCAAGACAGGTTTGGGAACTTCTCTGTCACATCCAGGGGGCCTTGGGGAGGAGACAGGTCTCATTTATTCATTCAACAAATACTTAATGAGGGCCAACCATATGCCTGTTCTAGGAGCCAAAGATATAGCCGTGAACAAACAGATGCATCTCCTGTTTGCATTCTCAAATCTATCGGGTGCTGGCACGGTGTGACAACCATAACCTAGGAATGATGGCTTGGTAGTCGAGATGCAGAAAGGGCATGAGACTCTCCACACATTTCCTGCTGCTCCAGAGCAGCATGGGAGAGCCTCTGAGATG